TACTCTATAAACGATCGGTTCCCGTTTTGAATTCTGAGATCGGGTTGTCACTGGTTTAAATCTTACCCACTCTACAGAACTCAGTATTCACGGGTCCCCGAGGTCTCCATCTCGGTGATGCGATAACTCAAGTGAATTCGTGTCCAGTGAACACTCCTGCGGAATGGTTTCGCTGCCTAGAAGAAGCAAGTACGAAACCGACGGGCTACTGCGTACCCAACAGTTTCATCGGGCAGCATCCGGCACCAGCACCGCCAGGACTCAGACACCTCAATGCCGTCGTGCCTCCTCTTCAACCGCTGCAGCAGCCACAAAATCAGCAGCAGAACGCTGTCAACGAGCAGGATGTAGCTTTGCCTGTCCTCGCTTCTCAAGATTGTTGTCCCTCCCATCTCGCCTCCACTCACCTCTGCTTTGCCTATATGGCCAGTGGAATTAATGCAAAGGTAGGGTAACAGCCGTTGTCTTTGTCCTTCATCACCATCATTCTGGTAGCTTAAGATTAAGAAACATTTGGATATTTAAGCAAAATCATTATGAATACTTATTTTGGTCATATTTAGGCTTATTCTCTTGCAGAACATTTTCCCCTACATTGATGTCTGTATGGATATGTGCTTCAGATTATTTGCATCCAATGTCAATTGCGGCTTGTAGCAATTCGTCCGTTTTTCTCGTCGAGTGGGAATTGAGTGATGTCCCGTTCTCATAGCCAAAATGGGTGTGGGCTTATTCATAAGCGAATAAATTTTCTAATAGCAAATTGAAGAGGTTAGCAATCCCTTTCGATTGGCATAAACAAACACGCCAAAACATCACTTCCTATTGGCAGTGGAGAGAAAGGCAGAAACCAACAGTAAAGTTGAAGTTGCTAGTAGGAATGCTGGTTCCGAGAACAGCCGTCTGGGTAGCTAAACGCGGTTTATTGAAGTAGGAAGCGCCAAAAATGGCACATGATGTAGTTGTGATGTTGATGTCTTCATTCCTGCTTTCATCATTGACATTTCACGACAAAATATGTTGCCTCACCGAACCATTGTTCTGATCGGAACTGGCAAATAAAACTGTAAGTCCTCTTAATTTCCAAGTTAGCCGGCTTGTTGCAGAGTTATTGGGACGTGTATGGAGGTCGGTGGCAGAGAAGTTTTATTAGTCCCTCTATGGTGCCCTAGTAAATTGTTCATACCGACAATTTTCACACCTATTACTTCTACTGCAACCTTTAATTGAACTGAGATATTACTGCAGTAATCACCGCACTTTGCTGTGTTTACACGATCCTTTTAAATTACTCTTGGGAGTTCTGTTAAGCAATTCCATATCCAAAAATGTGGGAGA